CTCTCTCTCTCTCTCTCTCTCTCTCTCTCAGATTCTTTCATTTCACTCTCAGCCGTGCCACACTGATTTGCTCACCACATAAACAGCCACTGAAAAACTGCGCAACAGCAAACCAAAAAAACCATGACGAAGGGGAAAATACAATAGCATCCTGTGCGAGCTTGTTCTTTCAGTACGTGGCTCTCAGGAACTTCCTGATCGCTGCAGTGGCGGAGCGTGTGTGTGTGTGTGTGTGTGTAACCGCTGTGTTTTCTTAACCGCTGTGTGTGTGTGTGTTTGTGTGTAACCGCTGTGTGTGTGTGTGTAACTGCTGTGTGTGTGTGTTTGTGTGTAACCGCTGTGTGTGTGTTTGTGTATAACTGCTGTGTGTGTGTTTGTGTGTAACCGCTGTGTGTGTTTGTGGGTAACAGCTGTGTGTGTGTGTGTGTGTGTGTGTGTGTGACCGCTGTGTTTTCTTAACCGCTGTTTCACTCTGTGTGTGTGTGTGTGTGTGTGTGTATGTAACCGCTGTGTGTGTGTGTGTGTGTGTGTGTGCGCAGTGATAACCAGAGGCTGAGTCTGCAGCTGGAGCAGAGGAGCGTGGAGTTCAGCGTCCTGAAGAAGCGAGAGCAAGAGAAAAGCCGACAGCTGGAGGAGCTCAGGTGAGAACAGACTCACATCTCCAGACTCAAACATTTTTGAACAGTAAGATTTTAAGTGAAGTAATTAACGTAATTTCAGGAGGAGTACGCCCATCTAATCTTCCAATTAATATCTTAGTATAAAAGACAGCCTCTTACCACTTCCGTTTTAAGTTCTTTCGGCATCCCTCCTCCTCCCCATCTCCTCCTTTTATGCATATTTATTAATTAATGAATTAATCTTTCTGTCTATATAGCATATAAGAATGATTTCTGAAGATCATGTGACACTGAAGACTGGAGTAATGATGCTGAAAATACAGCTGCGCATCACAGAAATAAATAATATTTTATTATATATAATTAAATAGAAAACAGTTGTTTTAAACAGTAAAAATATTTCACCATTTTACAGTTTTTGCTGTAATTTGGAACAAATAAATGCAGGCTTGGTGAGCAGAAGAGACTTCTGTGACTCTGGTGCACCTGATACTGTTTCTGCAGATTTCTGCATGAACGTCAGGAGCAGACCAGGCAGGACATGAAGGGTCTGGAGGAGACCGTCGTGAGTACCTACAGCGCCTCAGACTGAATATGATCTATAACAATGAGATTTACACACCTGCACGTTTGTCTGTGAAAGGCCCGTGAACTCCAGACGCTCCATAACCTGAGGAAGCTGTTTGTTCAAGACCTGACGGCTCGAGTCAAACAGGTGCGTTTAGTCGACCCACAAACACTCAGATGAGGAGGAATCCACTGAGATTAAAGAGCCTGATGGATCTGATGTAAAATTACATGAAAACTAAATTACGACACAACAAAACAGTAACACTTTACAATAAGTTAATGCATTTAACAATCTGTTAATGCATTAAATGGCATGAATAAGGAGCAATACAACAACATATATTTATTTATAAAGCAAACACAAAAAATTATTCTAAGTGCTGTACAACATGGACAAAAGCTACACATAGTTTTTTGTTAAATATTATTGCATTATTAATTATTATCCATTACACGTATTCAATAATATGAAATATATTACATTATATTATACATAAATTATAATATTTATATCAATAATTATAATTTTCATATATAATTTTATTTCTTAAATTACTAAATATATTATTACGTATGATAAGTAGTACATTAAATATATTTAATAGCATATGTATAATATTATTAACAAATATTATAAATATCATTGGTTAGAATGGGATTAAATACATAAAGGATATTTGTGTTGTTTAAGATTTAATTATTGGAGGTTTGTGTCATATTCTGAGTTGCATTATTTTTATTCATTTTGAGGAATACTGAATCTGTGTGTGTGAGTGAGATGAATTAATGCATATTCATATTTATTTTAGAACTACAGTAACATCTTCTGATTTCTCTCAGCATGGGGACAGAAGAGCCGTCAGTCAATACATTGGGGAAAAAAAGTAACTTGTGTTACTTATCTGAAAAAGTAACGCATAAGTAAAAAAATAATGTGTTACTTTACTAGTTACTTGAAAAAAGTAATCTGATTACGTAACTCGCGTTACTTGTAATGCGTTACCCACAACACTGATTATGATTATATGTTGCGATCAAAATGTGTTAGTTTTGTATGTTGGTTCAGGGTTGGCATCATCTGAGAGGTTGGCAGCTGCATGTTAACTAATGTTAAATGGAACCTTACTGTAAAGTGTTAAAGAGAATAAAAATAATCATACTGTATTTTAGCGTCTCGTCTTCATCTGTGTTTCAGAGCTCTGAGCTGGAGCTGGATGACAGCGGAGGCTGTTCCACACAGAAACAGAAGATCTCCTTTCTCGAGAACAACCTGGAACAGCTCACAAAAGTTCACAAACAGGTCAATAATCAGATCCTCAAACCCTGTAGAAACTAATAATGCAATGTTAGTTGTATAATAACACCCTCATTTACATGTAAGGATGTAGGAGAGACATACAGCCAAACCAAAAATTATTCAGACACCAGATATTTTATTTACTAGTGGGTGCAGGACACTATATTCATTTATGTAAGTGAGGATAGCCAAATAAAGTCAAATGTGATATATTATACACAAAAATTCTTCATACTGTGGACTACCAGGAAAATTTGACCTGAGCTTGTTTTGCTTAATTGCTAATGTGATCTTTTTACACCACAGACTGAACTAAATGAAGCATTGCTTGGTAATTGGTTGAGCTAAATTGGTGTTATCTAATTGTGCGCTTACTGCTTACACACATTTTCAAAACTTTACACACAAATCAAATATTTGCACGCACAAAATGCAAAATGCCTCGCATCTCTTGCAAAGCGAAGCATCTCAAAAGCAAACATCTGCAAACACCTTTGCCATAATATTAATTCCTGTTAGATTTAAGTGTGTTACATAGAGAACTGTGTGCTGTGTTTGAGTCAAAGGATGAGAATTAGCGCATGGTTTTGCAGATTTGGTGTGTGCTTCTGCTTTCAGAAATTGTGTGACAAGTAAAGCTTTAATGTGCAAGCAGTTGAAAAAACTGACAGCTATTCATCCGAATCCATTACATACCTTTCTATCAAAGGTATCTGACATTATCAAGATGAATTAGTTCTTCTCATATTTTATTACCATTTTCTAAACTATAGTCAATAAACTGTGATGATGTGAGAAATGCTGAAGGTGTCTTTGGTTTGACTGTATGTGATATATATATGTTCATGGCCTGATATGATTCTGCGCCGTCTCTCAGCTGGTTCGTGATAATGCAGATCTGCGCTGCGAGCTTCCGAAGCTGGAGAAGCGTCTTCGCTCCACGGCGGATCGGGTTCGAGCGCTGGAGGGCGCGCTGACAGAAGCCAAAGAAGGAGCTATGAAGGACCGCCGGCGCTACCAGCAGGAGGTCGAGCGAATCAAAGACGCCATGAGAGCCAGAAACGGCTTCAGACGGCCTCACGCTGCGCTCATCGGTCATTAGTCTCTACTGGACGATTAAACCAATGAATCTCAAGCATCATCTCTCTGTTATTGCTCTGCATGAGATGAAGCAGCTTTCATTTGTGTAGTATTTTATTAACTACGTTTTCCAAAAATAGCCATTATCACATTGCAATATGTGTCCCTGCAGCACAAAAGCAGTGTTGAGTCGCTGGGGGATATTTGTAGCAATAGCCAACAATACATTGTATGGGTCACAATTATACATTTCTCTTTTATGCCAAAAATCATTAGGATATTAAGTAAAGATCATGTTCCATGAAGATATTTAGTAAATCTCCTACCGTAAATATCTCAAAACTTAATGTTTGATTAGTAATATGCATTGCTAAGAACTTCATTTGAACAACTTTAAAGATGATTTTCTCAATATTTAGATTTTTTTGCACCCTCAGATTCCAGATTTACAAATATTGTCCGATCCTAACAAACCATACATCAATGGAAAGATTATTTATTCAGCTTTCAGGTGATGCATAAATGCAGAAAAATTGACCCTTATGACTGGTTTTGTGCTCCAGGATCACATACAGTATATAAACAATTTTTGTTAAATTTCAGCATGTCATGAAATATAAAATTACTATGATATATTGATGATTCCTCATACCATGAAATAAAATATAAAACTAGAAATATAAAAAACCATGATTAATTTACTAAAAAAAAAATATAGATATTAATATGATTATTAAATATGATTCTATTGTTAATTATAATGCATTATATATATTAAATAACACACAAATATATATTAAAACTATAATGATATTAAAAGTAAAATGTTATAAATAACGTATTAAATTATTAACATTATTTAATAAGATGATAAATAATGTATTGAAAATATTACAAACATTATAATATTATTTAATTTATAAATTATTTATTAATTTGGATACATGAATAATGAATGCATTAAATATATTTCATAACATATTTATAATATTATAAACAAATGTAATATTTAGTGCTGTCAAACGATTAATCGCATCCACAATAAAAGTTTTTGTTTACATAATATATATATATATATATGTGTGTGTGTGCTGTGTATATTTATTATTATTAATAATATTATTAAATATTCTATTTTCCCCTCAGCCAAACCGATTCGCCCAGGACATTACCCCGCCTCCTTATCCACCAATCACATGTTCACGCGCAGCAGGGATCAGCCAATCACGTTCAGCAATGCCATGTTCAACAGTGCCACTGAAAAACCACTGAAGAAGTGAGCATCAGTGTTTCTGGCTCACCGTTGACTGAATTGTGTGTATTTTTAGCACAGCTGATGTGAAAGATGTGCTTCTGTTTGTCATGTCAACAGGACGCTGTCAGAGGCCACACACAAACTCAACATCACCAACGGTAAACACACTTCTCTGACGAGAGCGCTTTACTTTTATTACCTGAAGAATATCAGCGGTTGCTCTTTCCAGTTTATGGGTCCAAACTGTAAAAAATGGCTGCATGGGACCTGATTGGGACATCCACAGATGCTCATCGCCTAATAAAAATACTAATTTAGAATTTCCCAGTGCAGTAAATGTAAATAAACATGTTTTATTTTATATTGAAACATATTCATTCTTATTTCACCAGGAGATGCCACAGATGTGAATGAGAACAGGTGAGCATGAGTGCGTGTGACTGTACAGCACATACTGTAATAAGCTGATAATCTAATGATGTTCTGTGCTGTAGTGTGTGTCAGACCATCTCCAGCACAAACACAAGCTTCAAGAGCAGCGCGCCGCCTGCTAAGCACACAGGTGAACAACAGCACAAGATGCCATAACATTCACATTCTAAAAAACAAACGACAAAAAAACATCCTGTTAATGTCAAATGAAAACATATGCGCCACAAAAAAGTGATTTTCTGTCTATGCATTTTTGTCCTGTTTTCCAGTAGAAATATTGTAATTGTGAGGAAAAAGTCAGAATTGTGAAAAAAAGTTGCAATTACCTTTTTAGGTTTTATTTTGGGGGAAAGAATTTTTTTTTTTTAAATATCTCACAATTCTATAATTACAAGATTTAAACATAGAATTGCAAGACACAGAATTGTGAGGATAAAAGTCTGATTTGTGAAATAAAAAGTCGCAATTACCTTTTTATGTTTTATTTTGTGGTGAATTAAAAAAAAAGCTCACAATTCTATAATTACAAGATTTAAACAGAATGGCAAGACACAGAATTACGCAATTACCTTTTTTTTTGTTTTATTTTGTGGGGGAAAAAACTAATTTTTAAAAAAATATCTCAATTCTATAATTACAAGATTTAAACATAGAATTGCAAGACACAGAATTGTGAGGAAAAAAGTCTGAATTGTGAAATAAAAAGATGCAATTACCTTTTTATGT